ATATGTATCTGCGTTCTTTCTCCTGTTTTAGGTGGTTTTATATGCCGACTAGTAAAGAGGTTAGGCGTCGAGTCTGAAGTAAGGGGGGAGTCAATCGATGAGATTGTGGCGCTGCATTGATTGAGATGGCTAGGACATATGTCGCACATGCCTAGCCATCGCCTTCCTCGATGGACAATATTAGCTGGAGGCAATTGGTGATAAAGCTGAAAGTGGTTGTCATTGGCACATACTCATTCACTCTTTCTCATCTGGCATATCCATTAAAATCCATTGTTTTTCAGTTTTTACTCCCCCCCTCACTTCTGCTTTCGAATATTTTCTATCCTTTGTGTACTACATGGATTGTGGCTATCCGAACTGCTGCACTTCTGCGTAAAGTTCCATGCTGAAATCAGTCAGTCAGTTTTCTTCCTTATTGTAACGGTATAAGAGAAGAAACTTGGTAAAGGAATGTTTATTTGTAATTTGGTTTCTCAATATGGCCAAAGTATGTCCAAATCGTCATTTGCATAGATCTTCCGTATTGTACTACTTCTACCCTTCCTTCGTATCGTGTTCATTTGTCTTCTTGTGCTGTAATGCTGAATCACAATACCTTTTTGACGTCAAATCTATCTCTCGGCTATTTGATATTCCTATGATGATGAACGTCTCTATATACTACTGATAAATCTTATCAGTAACACATGCTGTATTATTACTCCCTTCCTCCGTTATTATAGTTCTGTGCTGGGTATAATCCGCCTTTTGAAGCATACGTGAAAGTAAACTTTTAATTCTGTATAACACTGGTTGTTCACTTAATGTTTAACTGTTATGGTATGAGACTTTTCTGTGATTGGTGGTAAATCGACCAGAACGTGTTAGTAATTTGTTTATCAATTAAAATTCTAAAGTCCGTATGCATTCACAACACGAAGAATTAAAAAAGCCTTTAGTGTATAAAATGTGTTGAGGGAAACACTCCAGTGAGTGACCTTAAACCACCCAGTACACCATGAGTAGAAAAAAAAAGTATGAGTTCTTTTATTGCTCTATTCATTTTCTAGGTGGTGATTGTACTTTTTTACTTGTAATTATACTCTCTCTTATTCTGTTAATCCGTATTACACATAAGTGTGTGTGAGTGTGTGCGTGTGTGTTTGTGATCCATGTGATGTTTATAAATGTATATATAGTGTGTCAATCGTTACTTGCAAGTCATAACTTGGTATTCTGCAACATGGTAGGATCTTGTGAGCTTTGAAGTGGTCCATGAATCGTAATAAGTACCACTTCCATCGCGCCACATTATGCATATACATTGTAGGTGTCTATAATTTGTTTTGATGTAATAAAAGAATTCAGCTGATTACATGAAATGTACGCATAATGAATTCACTAATAATGAAGGCTGAATACATATTTAAATATTCTCAATTGTATTCCATACATAAATGTGTGATTTTCACTTACCTTTCTTAATGTGGTTTATTCTCTCATAAGGTTTTATGTGTAAGCTTATAAATGTATATCATTTAGATATGTACTAAGTTGGACAGTTTGTTTTTATAATAATGTAAACTGACCACTTGGTATGCGTGTGTTTATATGTCAGACTATGAAGCACATTTGTGCGTCGGTGGCACAGCAGTAGAATGCTCGCCGACCGCACCTCATGTGGTCCGGGGTTCGATTCCCGGCCGCCAACGCACCCCTTTCTCTTGCTAAGCCAGTAATCAGACTGGTAAAGACGGAAGGTTGGGCATGAGGCTAGCAACCCCATCTCGTAAAAATAAATACCACTGCTACAGAAACTTCAATCATCTAGCTTGAAGCCCTATGTTCTCCATTGGGTTCGTGAAGGAATAAAAAGAAATTAAGCACACTTCGTTTTTGAAGGTATATGATACTACCCGATTGTCTACGCAGAGAACCAGGGAAAATATGGTTTGAGCATTGGATCCGTTTCCTTAAAAGCTTAATCCTTCTTATATGGTTGAAGGTAGTCGATAGAAAGCCTTGCATCTAGGTTTTGTGCTTCTTGGCAGTTGTTAGCAAGGCGTATCTGCAATCTTGAAGGAATTCATGTACCCTTTGAGATTCGAGTCTGAGTCACGCACTACTTCAGTCAGAGCCGATACCATTGAGTTATTCACCCTTGCAACTAACCTACTGTAGGACTGTAATGGATATGTTGATTGGGCAGTAGGCAGTCACTAACGTCACGCGTCTAGTTTGTGATTAAAGCATTTTAACTGTGTCTAACACCTTCATTCTGATAGTGATAGGTTTCCTCTTATTGTATGCTTAACTCAGTCGTGAAGTCTGTCCCGTTTTTTATGAAAGTCATGAATTTTATTTTGGTTTATTCGAATTTGGCTTTCAGTTAGTTGTAAATTCAACTGTCGATGAAATCTGGAGAGTATTCAGCAACCTACAAACACGATATCTACTGAAGAGAGCCATATTGTGGAAATGTAGCTAATTGACTTAAGCATTCGACTTTTAGCTAATTTCTCCGACGTTTGAATCCCGCTCCACCTACATCAGTCTGTGGGACTGTGTAGTATTGCGAGCCCTCATATACTAAATGTGGCTCATAGCCCTTCCTAGTTCATAATTAATTAGATGTTTTGTAATCACCCTATGGGAGGGATATTAGACAGTTATTATCCTATTCAGCAGTTCATGAGCTAACGCGTCCTTTTGTTTGATCTTGTTTCAGTAAAGAGATTCATAATAGAATAAAACAATCTTGTAGTGTTCTGTATTATCATTCTTTGATAGATTGTATTTTGGAGGCAAGTTTTCATTTGCAGTGAATTGGAGATATCTAAGTTGGTCTGTCATAATCTAAGTTCTTCTTTCATGGTATCTGTTGTATTTTAAAACAAAAAGCAGCTGTATATTTACCAACTGTAAAGTTTACTTTGTTGACTATCGTTTATTTCATTACCCAATGTATGATAAACGAATTCAGTTTTTAGATTATGCGTTTTTGTAGGGACTTGGATTGATTCCACTGTAGATTTCGTCACGAACTGACATTAGTGAAAGAATTACTGGAAACCAAGGGAGTATTGGGTGCATCGGTGGCACAGCGGTTAGGACGCTCACCGACCATGCATATGGTCTGGGGTTCGATTCCCGGCCGACACACTCCTTTACCTCGCTAAGCCAGAATTAAAGCTGGTAAAGAGGAAAGGTTGAGCATGAGGCTAGCAGCCCCATCCTGTAAAAATTAACACTGCTACAAAATCTTCAAGCTTCTAGCTTGAAGCTCTATGTTCCACTGGGAACGTGAAGGAATAAAAAAAGGGAGTACTGGTCAGTTGTCTCTAAATATCGATCTCCCGCTCATTGGTGGCTAATAGATGGATGCTACACAGTTGTAGTGAGAAGTCCTGGTCAGTGAGGTTCACCACATCGAGATGAAATGAATGTTTACCGATGGGATTAGTTCACGTCAGCACTATACCACAAATCGATAAGGTTAGAATTCACGGGTCATTGAATTCCGACCCAAGTGACTGAATGGTCTTGTAACCTAACTGTCCTGGGTTTAATCCCTTTTGGGGTCGTGGGTGGCCACTGATGAGGAGGCCTTGACAGTAGGACGAAACAGCTGTCCAGTGCTCCCTGGTTTTCAATGATTTTCTATCTAATGTTGGTTTGTGACGAAATCTATATGGGAATTCAGTTTTATATTTATCTTAGAAGATCATATCTATGATTTGCGTCGTCCTCATAGATATATTATCAATGGATTTATACAAATAGAAAAAACTGGTGATCAGAGAGTACTCATTTTTATGAATTCTCATCAAAGTTATACAGTTAAATTGATTGTTTCTGAAAAATTACGGAAAGGGTCAATAAAGGTTAAATATCACAGTCAGTCGCTACCAAAATATACTATTGGAAATTGGCAAGTTTTGAAACTTGATCAAATAATCTTACACAGTCTAGACTATTAAGTGTTGAGAAGCATTCAAAAATGCGCCTACAATAATATTAGCTCCTGGAAATGTGAATATTATTCACAGCAGGAAGAGATTTCGAATATTGTTAGTGTTCTTTTTAAAATGTCATTAGTTTATTTAGCTTTTGTATATGGAGTTCTGGTACACGCGGAACACTTTACGTATGAATATTCTTTCAGTTTGATATTATGTATTTATGTAGTATTTCAGTTTACGAAATACTATACAGTCAGTGTAGAAGAATGTTAATACAGATTGATAACTTTTTCTGAAATTAGTATTTGGCGCATCATATCATTTATCACTGCTGACTAGCCCAGTTTTGTGCGTCAGTAGTTCAGTGGTGGAATGCTTTCTATACTCATTACTGTATCTATTGGTTTATTAATTTCCTCATATGGTCCTGTTTGCATGTGAGTTTTTACCTTGTCAAAATAGTCTGATTTGTCTAATACTACTGTTGCATTTCCTTTGTCTGACTTTGTGATAACTATATCCTTGTTATTCTTAAGGTGTTTCAGGGCTTCTATCTCTTGTTTTGTCAGGTTAGGCTTTCCACATTTTTGTCGTTTTAATGTCAGTGCACATTGTACCCGTACTTCATTCATCAGCCGTTGTTTTGTCTATCCCATTTAGCAAGCTGAAACCTGAGGATGCTGAAACCTGGGGAATGCTTTCTAGCCACGTAGGAAATCCGCCTCCGTACGTATTGTACTGTGATTTCATTGAAGACATTCATTGATCTCCTAAGCGCCAACCGCATGAAATAATGTTTTCATTTGTGTAAATCTTTTAAACTCCGGTAGAAAGAAGTGGTGTCAAGACTGTGAAAATTTCATGTTAAGAAAAAACCAAACATAAAGGTATATCAGAAGTTTGGGCATGTCTTTTCACAATTTTTGGAAGATATCAGAAGTTGCAACTTTTTGTCTGCCACAGTAATACTCTATTTAATCATATGTCTTATATTTTATCAAGTTGTGCGCGCTTTCACACCAAATTATTATTGATCGATGTTCTCATTTTTCTTAGGAACGTGAAAAACGATATGTTCTTCCGTTAGATGGATTAAAACAACGTGCTGGTGATACTGGTTTCTTTTCAAAACGACCAACATTTGTTCTCTATCATCCAGATCCTAAAACCAATGTATACAAAGATCATAAAACACTGGATTTATCTGCAGACTCAGAAGAGGCAGTCGAGGCTTGGAAAGCTGCTCTTGTTCGTGCTGGAGTTTTTCATGATCCAATTTCTAAACCAGATGAACAGGTAATTAATGTGTTGGTACTCTATCGAAATTGGATGTTCTTTTTTCTTGTTTTAAATACTATTTTGTGAGTAGAGCTTATAAGGCAACTTTTTGTATCTCACACTCATGCCTCTAACAAATGGCACCTATGATTGAAGTTGAGCAACTGCTCCCGTCGCTCCATACTCATCATCAGATGGTCAAAAAGAATTAGAAACAAGAAACCAATCAAAATCCTATTGCCTAACAAATATGCTGAAGAAAATGGAGATAGATTGGGCATACGTTGAGGAGAGACCGTAGGATGACATCGCTCTCCAGGCCCTTGAGTGGAAGCCGAATGGAAAACGAGGAGTTGGGCTTCCAAAGGTGACTTGGAGGAGATGCCGTGCGAAAGCGACGAAACCTTATGAACAGTTGTGGAGATATCTGAAGAGAACTGTAGAGGACAGAACAAAATTGAGATGTGCTATTAAAACCCTACGTTCCACTCTATCATCCGACTACATTCACCTCTTTTAAGTACTAATGTGGTGAGAGCTGTCTGCTAGCCAAAATTGGTAAACAGCAATCTACGTCAATACTTATATCACAAATCTCGGTTAGCATAAAAAGCGAGAACAAAGCCTAACCTTGACGGACTCAACAACCAATCACAGCAGACTTTGCGTGGGCAGATACGATTAGCAGATATATTGTAACAAGAGAAGACAAGGGCCAGGCGACAGATCGTTTATTTGGGAAATCAGCACTTATTTTCATGTACATTAGTATAGATTATTTTAAGCAAACAAACACAGTCTCCTGATTGGTGGTTTCTCGTTGAACGTTAATCTTTCATCTCTTTGTGGCCGTTTATTGAAGTTCAGATTATCTATCTGCAAATTGTATCCGCCTACGCAAAGTCTGCTGTGATTGGTTGTTGAGTCACTCTGTGTTCTTATTTTTCTCATGACCTATATTGGGGACGTACACATTGACGTAAATTACTATGTACCAATTTTGGCTAGCAGCCAGCCCTCACCACAATATCAGCCGACTGTTTAAGAAATGGCAACAAAGAAATGACAATAACCTTCAGCAAGAAAACAACTAATCAAAAGATGCTATTTCTCTGCTAACAATAACGAATAATAATGTGCATAAATAAAAATCTGTCAATATCTGTTGATTTTCTCAATAAACGATCTGTTGCCTGGCCCTTGTCTTCTGTCGTTACACTAGATTTCAATGACTCCCAACTGCTCTGACGTGTGTGATTTTTCTAGTCTTCATGCCTTTTAAACCTGTGAGTGCGTTCTGCTTTAAAAAAGGGTTAAGGCCTATTTTGACCATGCAGGTGTGTTGCGTCGGCTTTCAGCCAGTAAGTAGGATTCATCTCATCTGGCTAACAGGATTCTATAATCACCATATGCACAGAAAAGTTGAATTCAGACTCATTTTTTTGTGTAGAAAAATGCCTAATGTAAATAAGAGTAGTAACAAAAACGCTTCTCTCAGTTACAAAGATTGCTTCATAGGAAACCGACAAACTAAATTTTACATTGCTAATTTATGCTGCTGATGAACAGCACGCCTTTCAGTGTTTCACTGCATTTAAGACTCCTACTGCAAACCCCCCCCCCAATCAACTCTAACTCTATTTATAGCAACATTTTATAAAATGACAAAAGGACTGTATCACCATCAACAACAGCAGAAACAACGAAACAACCTGTCAACATTCCTGGCGACATAATTGATGTGTGGTGTTGTTAAATTATTAAGATTTCAATAATAATCAATAAATAAATGAGTATGTCAGTTTTAGCAGTTTTCTATGACTGAAAAAAAATTTTTTTTCTACCTCATTGATTGATTTATTCACGATCATGTCTTTAAGTGTGATGACATTATTATCATTATTATTACTATATACCTATGGAATTAATCTCTAGTCTTTTTTTTGTCGTTCTACTCAAAGTCACGTGATTCGCATAGAATATGCTCTGTTCAGTCACATACTGTGTCACTCGTGATTTTTGAGCTATCGTATGTTTGTGTGCGTAGTTGTGTGAGTACATCTGTGCGCTTACATTATAAAACTGTTATTATTATTATTGTGCTAGTTGACTTCAATCAAACAGCTGTTAGACATTTAGAAGTACCAGAGAATTTTTATTAAAGAAAATGATTGATAGAGAAACTATTAAATGCATCAGTTTTTGACTGGGAGAAAGGCTGACCAGCCACACAAGTGACCCCTATTCGATTCCCATCTGACTCATTCTTAAACCTCACCGAGCCGGAAAAGAAAGAGGAGTTTGAGTGTGAGGCTAGTGACTCCACTATCATAACTTGGAAGGCCAGGTTTGAAGCCCTATGTTCCACTTGGAATGTAAAGGAATAAACGAATGAAATAAGGAGATCACTACAGAGGTGTTAACATGTTCCCTAATGAATCTTGGTCACCTATGTTCTACTGTCTTGTGAGTTATCTCCATGCTTCAGTGAGATATTGAAAGATAGAAGACGTAATTTGTCTGAATCGTGTAACCTATTTGCACAACACATTTCGAACAATCTGATCACACACGGACTTGTCACAGAAATATATATATATATATGTATAATTAATAAAGAGTTAAGAGGTGAGAAAATAGACTTAGGTCAAGTTAAAAGGACATATTAAGGGTCAAAATAACAATGAAGACCACTAAACCAAATAACAGAGGTATTAGTACATCTACCCTGACTGGTATCAAAACAAGGTCTACCAATTAAAGTTTAGTGAGATGAGGAATTGTTGCTTTGAACACACCCCATTAATGGTTTCTGCGGATTCTATTTGCTTCTGGAGCCATTTAGGAATATGCTCTGAAGCCAGCCCTTACTTGCAGAGATCGATGAGTCCTCCCTATGTATGTATGTGTGACCACACGTATATTCAAACTGGTAAATACAGTGGGATGTGACATCATTTTTCACATGTTCAAAGGGCTTATATAGATATATTGGCTTCACATTCTCAATTGTTATGATATTAGCTGCATAAAAGATCCTTTTTAACAGCAGTGTTCAATCTTTGTGTAGTTATCAAGCTGCTATGATATCCCATATAGGGTAGCTTGATGTACACCCCTTTCTTAGGGGCGAGTTGTAGAGTGGGTCTTGGTGTTGTGAATACTTTTTACCTCCGGATGAACTTGTCTGGATAACTGTTATCAACTAGAGTTTGTGTCAACTTTCTTTCTTCTTCATCAAATGTGTATTCATTGCATATTCGTTGGATTCTACTGAAGAGGCACCTTACTAAGGGCTGTTTTGTACCGAACAGGGCAGAAACTGTGGTAATTAAGACAGACTATTTTGATACTAAGTATTTAGGGGAATATTGAACAGCTGTTTCGTCCTAGTTTGTTACTCTTCGTCATTACGTACCCATCGGGGTTCGAACCCACAACCTTCCGGTTACAAGACGAGCCAGTAGACCATTCAGCCACTGAGTCGCGAATCGTCAGAAGTTGTAATAAATGGGTCATTGCATTAGATCTCAGTGGTTTAGTGGTCTACGAGCTGGCCTTGTAACCCGGAGGTTCCGGGTTCGAACCACGGTGGGTACGTACTGTTGGGAAGAGTCCCCAAGTGGGACGAAACAGCTGTCCAGTACTCCCAGGTTTTCCAATGGTTCTCTAATTAATGCCAACTCATGAACAAATCTGTAGCCAATCAAATCCCTGCAAACGAACACTTGGTAATGATCACTTGGTTAATTACTTGATACTTACTGTTATTTAAATGAGTTGTCTTCACACCCAAATAATATTGAGTCTTTTCCACTCGAATCTTAATGTCTGTAAGTAATCGTTAGTAAAATATACATGTGGAAGTATATGTACATGCAAACATATGGTGGAATTATCCTCCGCCACAATGACAAAGTTTTATTTTTTATATCAATGTTGCCAACTAAGTGTTTATGATGCTTAAACTTCAAACCGCCCCGTATTACTGATTCTACATCTAGTGTGATGCATTCAACGCGATATGCACTTAACTGTCCATGAAGCTCCTGAATCACTCTCTACGTTTAATTTCTGATAAAGTAGCCTCAATCACTTCACGGATGACAATTTTGATAACATGAGTGTTCTTATAAAGTAGTAGTAATAAGCACAATTCAGCCTTAGCCCCTTGCTGCTTGTTTCTTCTAGCCTACCTAGTAGTTAGTCAGTTAGATAAAATCAAATCATGTGAGGCACATATATATGGTCCTCTCTAATAAATACAGAATTCTTTTCTCTCTTCTTACCCATTTATCAGGGCTTTTGAAGAAAGTAGTAAGAGAATTAATAAATACTAATGTTGTTATATATAGCAGCCGTTTTGTGCTTAAATGATACTTATGATTAATAATAATGCTTTGAAGAAGTATATACTGTTCAGTCCTATAGTAAGTATACTGAATGACTACTTATTCTGATGAGTAGTAAGTAGTATTCAATTGAATGATTATATGTATGGAATTTTTGTTTTTTTTTTCTTTTAAAAAAATTTTCCATGCACAGAATGATGATGGTGATTTGAGTAAGGCAGCAGCTGATCCAAAACTTGAAAGACAAGTGGAAATTATACGTAATCTAGTTGATTCTTACATGAAGATTGTCACTAAAACTCAACGTGACATGGTTCCGAAAATAATTATGCATCAATTAATTAATGAGGTAATTCTCTTTTTTGTGTTTGGTTTTTTCTGTTTTGCTTTTTTTTGAGTTTGTTCCAATAGAAATCCTTTCACATTTTGCACTGCTTAGGTCGTAGTTGAGTTTAGTTTTGTTAGTCCGTAATGGAGTGATGTTCTGTGGTGATGCAATAGGATTTTCCATTACAGTTATCATCGCCTTATATATATATATATATCGGTTTTCGAAGACTTACAAGCGAAAACCGACAAACTGGTCGAAGAAGCAGCAAAGACTGGACTCCAGGTGAACATAGACAAGACGGAGGTTATGAAAATAACAAACCAATCTGGAAATCTTCGTCACTCAGCATCAACAACAAAATTCGGATTTTCAATACAAACGTCAAGTCAGTCAGTTCTTCTATACGGATCAGAAACTTGGTGGGTCACGAAGAATATTTCCAACAGTTTGTAGACGTTTATCAACAACTGTCTTCGTTCTATACTGAAGATCAGATGGCCGGAAAGAATCACCAACAAGAAACTATGGGAACAAAAAAAACAAGAAACAGTCGCCTAACAAATATGTAGGAGAAAGTGGAGACGGATTGGACACTCGCTGAGGAGACCACTGGGTGACATCGCGCTTCAGGCCATAGCTTGAGTGGAACCCGAAAAAGAAGCGGCGAGTGGGACGTCCAAGGGTGACATGGAGGAGATCGTGTGAAGAGGAGTTGAAACAGTATGGACTAACATGGATGCAGGTGAAAAGTACGGCAGAGACAGAAGCAAGTGGAGAAGTGAAGTTGAAGCCCTATTTTCCACTAGGAACTCAAGGGAACAATAATAATAATTATATATATATATATATATATATATACATATATATATGTATATATATACATGACTAACTAAAAGTAAGTTCTTTAACGTAGAACTTTACATAGAAACTCAGCAGCTCAAGTTATGACACTTCACGTAGCACACAAAAGTGAGGAAAAATATCTAAAGGAACTATTATGTAAGGGAGAACAACCTTGATGAATTGTATCACCAATAGTCTCAAGGCATTGATTGGTTCTTATCGTCTCGAGGATTCCAGCGAAACAGTCTTCAACCCCTTCCCCCCCTCCCCTACGTACCTCAAACCAATAGTCTGAGACTTCATGGATTGATGCCAAGTATTGATTTGACTAACTCTAATCTTATGTTAGCGAACATTGCTCAAAGAAAAAGGCAATGGTTTAGCATGCGTAACACTTATTCTAGTCATCTCAATCGACATAGCTTCACAATCTCATCGACTGACAAATCCTCCGTACGTAAGACTGTACGATATTATGCTACCTAACACGGGGGATAGAAAGCAAACATATAGGGTAACGGGAAGGTAGCCTCTTCATATCTCCTGTCTTCACAGTCATAAAGATAGAGTGAACGAAAAGTGGCACACTGTTCACGCCTTTTCATCGATGGCCTCATATTACATCTATGCCATAGACACGGCGTAAATTGGCAGATGCCACATTGAGCTTTATGTATCTGTGCTGAGATTTCGTCAACAAACAGTCCATTAGGGCTGATGCAACTTCCCAAAAAGTGAAGAGTTCAATGCGTGAAACCACCTCACTTCCTGTCCTTAAACTAAGAGTGTGTATCATGTTTTCATGACACAAGCACACTATGCGCTGGCTTTTTATTTTTTTACATCGCTTTGTGACAAAAATAGTGTTCTGTGTTTAACTCTTTGTAAAACACTGGTTAAAAAGTTTGTGAGAAAGTGGCTAATGAATGTCCACTTGGAGGAAGTTTACAAATCGCATGCAGTTTAAGTCATCTAACGGATGTATGCGATATCGTCAGTCGTCAATATAGTGACAGCGTACCACATTGCATTTTCCTATTGGTTTTCGATAAATATTGTAGGTAAAAACCGCGTGTTGGCTGTGGTATTCTTGAGCCTTCTACGCCCCTATTTTCGCCTAGAATCGATCTAGACTGAGAAATGTGGTAGAGTATAGTCACAAAATAGAATGCTTTTATTTCATAGAGAACACAGTAATATGCTATTATTTCCTGAAGACTTTTCTCGAGCGCAGTTGTTTATTCATGTCTCCATTATGTGTCTGTTTGTGGGCACTTGGTCACCTACGTTTTGGAGTTTGGCGTATTTAAAGCTATTCAGTATCTGTTTTCCGCTTAATATCTATGGAGTATATATATATACACATATATATATATATATAGTAGAATAATAAGCTCACGCTGTTTTTTATTGGAAAATAGTCTATAACTAGTGTAATGTGTCTAGTCCTATCTCTGGTGCAGACTGAATTCTATCAATCAAGTTTGCAAATGTGGCTACCATACTCTAGGTGGCTCGCCATTACGGTGCACTATGAATTGCTGGTATTAGATGGTTGGAGGCAATCTGCAGGAAGCCTTGCTTCACCTAGGTTTCGTGCTAGTTGGCACTCACCAGTCAGTCAGCAGGGCGTATCTGCATCCTTGAGGGAAGTCATTTCCCTGCACGCTGTTTTTTTTTCACATTAACTGAGCAGTGCATGACATTGAAGAGTGAGATAGACAGTTTGCAATTCGTTTGTGACATATACCAAAGCAGTTAATATTTTCAAATACTTATTGAAATTCCTAGTCATCTAATTAATGAGCATACCAGCAGATTATAGAAATTGAATTTCTCACATTGTCTAACTAAAGCTCACTGACTGACTGTCAATTTTTTGATAAGTTAAATATTTACTACTTTTAGTAGTATGTTTCAAAATTGATAAATAAGATTGTCTTTCTAATCCAATGACTGCCTTTTTTTCGTTTTATAATTCAGATCAAAATGTTTTTGAAAGGAGATCTATTACCTGGATTATATGCTCAAGATCCTGTAAGTCTATCTTTATTTTATTTATTTTCATACCTGAGCACAAGTTACCTTAACCATAAAGACAAATTAGGCAAAATACCCATTAGGTACAAAATACTCAACATCTACAAACATTAGTTGATTAATTGGAATAATGCTGCGAGGTTAACCTTCATTGGCTTCATTGTCTCTCCTGTTTAGCTTCACACCTTTTGAAATGGAAAACGTACAGAATTCGTGACTCTTTAGGCGTTTAGAATGAAATCTCTAAAGAATATAGCCTACTGAACCCCGTATTTGGTCATCTTTCTTTGCACATATATAGATTTAGCGTCTATCGGTTTACTGTCTTATCAGTAATGCCCTTGAAAACAAAGCATATATATATGTTTACCTTTTGTTGTAGTGGAGTTGGTATGCTCACAGCTGAGTTTGAGTTTCACTTCATTACTGAAAGTTTTGTTTCTTCCAATCATATATCTTAACTGAAACCTAAAGTAAATAGTGGCTGGTAAACATACACCAGGCCTTAGTCAATACTCACGTAACCTAATGTTTACTTTTGAAGTGTATATACACACAAATTGTCTATGTTTACATTATTCATGCTCTAGTGTTTGTACATGTGTGTGTGTGTGTGCGTGTCTACATGTCTCCACTAACTGACATGAGAACAATAACTGTTCTGATTTTATCTCTTTTCTTTACTAGTTTATTTTTGGTTCTCAATAATAATTTTATAGATGTATGTAGTATTTATGCGCTTATACACATTCATAATTGGTCAACAATTCTTTTTCGGAGTGAAATGCCCCTAAAAGTGTCATATAAATCATTAGCAAACATGGATAAGTGGAGCTGTGGTTCAGTGGTATCCAAAGTGGCTCGACCTCCAACGTTTGGGTTCGAACCCCCCTCTCACCTACCAAGGTGTAGGTAGCCAGTTAATATCCCTACGCGGCAGATATAAGTGTACCTCATTGCGAACTGCAGGTGATTGCCAGTGGTTGTCGAGTAATAAATATGGATTAAAATTCAGATCATTTAAAATTTCGAGACAATTTATATGCATATCCAATACTCTTTATGTCAATACATATCACAAAACCCTATAAAATCGCCTGTAATTACTTTAAGTATGTTTCATACCATACTGTTGTGTTTTAGAGTTCTCCTTTTAGTGTATAGCTGAAATCTGAATTAACTTACAGTGTGATTGATCAGTAGTAGGCGTCGTATTCAGCGTTTTTAGTAAAGAAAAATTAGAACTAAAACTCAACAAAGATTTGTTTAAATTAAACCTGAGAGGCATGAAGACAAAATTCAAAGTTCACCCGATGACATCTTTGTCTTGAAGGCAAATGAAATATACGTGCAGCAGTGGTGAGGAAGATTTATGGCTTAGATGGATGGTATTGGTATAGCTGTGTTTTCTGACCTAGATGGCTTAATTGTGAAGGCTTCATGAGCAGATACTCTATGTTCATCTGACTATATTCCATTTTAAAATTATTACCTTATTCCATCTTATTGTGTGGTTGCATAGTATCGAACTCATTTCAATGACAAAATGTTTGCACATTATTTGTTTTATCAGAATCTAATTTGGCTGACGTCAACGGACTGTCTTGCACTAGTTGCGTGCATCTAGTTCGATTCCTCCCCTAGTTCTTTTTTTGGTTTAACCCTCAACCGTCACTAATTATCTAAAACTGTGAACTCGACTTGTTGCTGACAGACAGAGTGGCAGGTGGTTTCTCTTGAGTGTTAATTTGAGAAAATTAGACACACACATTTATCGTTTTCCTATGAGCCCCCATGTAACTAAAACTCGAACTGCTCATAGTTTTAGTAGAATAAATTATAAAAATATGAGATAAAAGTGGTCTAACATTTTCACTTTGACAGAGAATAACTTCTTGTGACTTTGTTTACTTGGTAAACCACTCGTCGTTGCAAAATTGCTTCTGTGTTGATAATTTAAGCACAATTTATTAGTGAGATAATAATAATGTCAAGGTAACCACAATAATTCACTGATTGACTGCATTGTTCTCTAGTTCATTTCTGTGGTTAAACTATCTTGCACATAGTGGAAAATACCCATCAGGGAATTCGAGAGAAAAGAACAAGAAGTTCAGCGAAGCTCTTTTTGATAACTTCATCCTCAAAAACAGCTGCACAATCTCAATTTTTATATATAAGTTCACATAATTACGAGTATTATTCAATTCAACATGGTAACAAAGGGAGATTGAGACAATAATAATAGTAGTTTAAATGTGGGAATATATATCACAAGGGATATAGAAACAAAGTTACATAGGATTAGAGAATGGTTGCGTAATACGTGGAGTAGTTTTCTGGTGAAGGCAGATGTCAATGGAATGTGCATAGAAATAAAATGAAGTAATAATTCTGTAAATGAAGACAGAAAGGAGAATGAAGGGAATGAAAAAAAAACAAAGGAAAACTAAGGAGTCAAACAGAACTAGATCGATTGTGAATATAGAGGTTGAACTAATTTCTTTTGAACGCATAGCTCCGACTTTTCGATGCATATGGTGAAGGCTTCTGCGTTACAAAATCGGAAACACGCTGCCTTTGGCATATTTTTGTTCACTTTTTAAATGATTCTGAATGATGAATCAGTTGATATCCTATGACAAGTGCTGACATGTCCCGAGGACCCCGACCAAGAAGTCTATGTGGCTTAAACTAACTGTTATGGATTTCATTGACTGATGAGGCCATGTTTTGGTTTGACCACCACTAGCTCTATTCCAACCTGATCCATCCTAAGTCAGCTAACGTTGCTCGTCGAGATAGGCGACGGCTAGACAAGCGTAACACATATCCTAACCATATCAGTCGATGTAGCTTCACAGCCTTGTCGATTGATTTTCCCTCCTTACCTAGCACTCGACCGATACCTAATCTCAATATTGCTCACTCTATTATACCATTTCACACGGGAGATAGAATGCAGGCACACCTATGATCAAAGACAGCTAACCTTTTCATGTCTTCCACTCTGAATGGCCAAGTCTCACAGCCGTAAAGGAGGACGGAGTGAACTGCAGAGCACCGCACACGCCCTTTGTTCAACAACCGGATATCACGTCTACACCAGACATGGCGTAATTTGGCAAATACCACACGTACATTCTGTATTCGTGCTGAGATTTAGTCAGCGATCAGCCCATTGGCGCTGGCTGACGCAACTTCCCAAATAAGTGAAGTGGTCAACACGCTCTACCACTTCACTCCCTATTTCTAAGCTTGGAGTCAATGTAGTCCAGTCCTGTAACATCATCTAACAGCGAATCGCAGGCCAAAGTGTTGCTCAAGTTGCTTTGTAGACTCTGAACTTTGTCAGCGTCTTCACCTAGAAGGACTATATCATCTGCATATTGTAAGTCAACGAGATTATTCCCTTGTAGGAAGTCAATCCCTGAGTCGCTAAAGTCAATTAGGGTTAAAACTAACATAAATGTGTGTAGTCAGTCTAACATGGAATCGTCGATTGACAATTTCACAAATTTCCAGAAAAGAAGAGAAAATTGTCAATTGTTCTCCAACTGAAGTCAGTCTTTAACAAAGTTCTATCTTCATGTTAATCAAATCCTTAGAAGCCAAACCGTTGAAAAATTAAAATTGTATTTTGTTAAACAATTTTTTTTGTTATTTGTTATTTTTTGATATTGTAAATTACAGAATAATCTAATGGAGGAATCAGCGGCTGAAAAAAAGCACCGTGAAGAAATGATCCGTATGTATGATGCAATACGCGAAGCCCTGTCAGTTATATCGGATGTTATAGCAAATACGCATAGCGTCCCATTACCGCCACCGGTTAATGATGATTGGATAGAGACAGTAAGTGTGTGTATAGTATGTAGGAGTATTTGATTAAGTCTTCATGTAATTTGTTGTATTCATTAGATGAAGCATATAATTTCCTCTCGATAATAGGTCATAGGTTGGAATCCACCTCCACACACTAAATTTTTGATAACTAAGTAGCACTGTAACGACAGAAGACAAGGGCCAAGCAAAAGATTGTTTATTGAGAAAATCAACAGATATTTATAGATTTTCATGTACATTATTATTTGTTATTATTAGCAGAGAAACAGTGTTTTCTGATTGGTCGTTATTCTGTCATCTCTTTGTGGCCGTTTCTTTGAAGGTCAGACCATATATCTGCTAATCGTATCCGCCCGCGCAAAGTCTTCTGTGATTGGTTGTTGAGTTAGTCTTTGCTCTTGTTTTTTTCTCATGACCGAGATTTGGGACGTAAACATTGACGTAAATTGCTGTTTACGGATTTCTGCTAGCAGACAACTCTCACTACAGTATCATTAGCCTACTCATGCAGTAGGTATATTTCACTTTTAAGTGGCAGTGGAATTTTTCTACTTTTCACATTGCTTTGGGTTCGATGGGCTATAATAAACCAACTATTTGCAACAGTCGTGTGAATCGTTCTCTATTCGGTGGACGTGAAAAGTTTGTATCCTACGTAAATGTGTTGATTTATGACAAACTTAAAATAGTACCATCAATGGAAATGATATTTTTCTTCGACAATTAATAGAAGTAACAATTATAATGTAACTAGGTAACATTCACCTCCTCTCATGATTGGAAATGTATTGAACAATACTGCTTCTGTATGTTGTTTATGTGTGTGTGTGCTTGTGAGAGGGACTTCCATGCTAAGGCTAACTAATAAGCACGCCAGAAGGGAGTAAACTATCATCAGAGATTACATCCTTATAGTTTCGGATATTGCTGTTTTTCATCTTACCAGCAGTTTGAAAGCGACTACCGTCGTCTATACGAATCATCTCCATAAATTCGTATTGTCTACGATGAAAAAAGCTTCATATGGTGTTGAAGTGTTTGGCTACAAGTTAAGTGTTCCCAGTTTCCGGTTTCTGTCAATTCCGCTGAGTAATAGAAATGCAATCACAGTACAAATCATAAATACTCTCGAAGTGGTGCACAATGAGTGTTTGTATACTGATAGGAGAATCTCCTTGACACTGGATTCATCTTATTTCATTGGATGGAGGATTTCATCATGCGCTGACATCAGTTAAAGAACCATTGGAAAACCAACAGGGAGTACTGGACAGCTAATTGTTTCGTCATAGTTCGGGACTCTTCATCAGTACGCACCCACCGGGGTTCAAACCCATCTTATTTCATTTATACAAGTTGGACATGATGGATAGCTAGTTGTGTGTTCGTCACAAACAGATTATCCTAATCTACGACTGTCTGCCATAAACAGCATAAAAACTCTAAATACCCAATTAGAATACAGGTGATAGACTACAAGAATAATAGTGAGAGGAGAAAATTCATCACGTTTTTTCATGTAATAAAATCCTGTTTATATTTCAGGAACCCGCGTCCGGACCCAACAACAACCGTCGACCATACGCTTCTAGTAATGCATCTTTACCTGGTCTTTACCCCACTCCATCGAGAGCTACAACTCCTAATAACAACAATTCTAATCCTGCTGGTCGTCCTATACCATCTAGACCTGCTCCAAATTTACCAATGCGCCATACTTTGAATCCTCCGGCAATAGTGACTACAGCTCCTGGTCAACTTCCTACTCCACTTCTTCCTCAGTAAGTTGCTTTTCTGATTTTTAATGTTTGTTGATTTTTTTTTAATATTTCAATTCTCCCGCTTCATACATATATTGTTACGCCTGTGTTAGTTATAGGCTGTTTTCAGTGTGAAATATTCCTGTCAATTTCTTAATTATAAATTTTTATACCAGTTCTGCCTATGCATGTCTCGATGTTAGTTCGTCATAGGATAGTCCGTTAAAGTAAAAGTGTAAAAAATTAAGAATCGTAGGTTAATCATTTGCTTTTGGTGTTATTTAACTTCTTTAAATAGTTACAACAGTTTCCGGTTTCATTGTGTATACTTTATTATTAATATTCCCTTAGGTTCCAAGTAGAACTTGGGACTTCAACAACACATCTCCATTTCATCTTGTTCTCTGTAGACCATTTTAGTTGGCTCAATGATTGCCCATAAGCTCTTGGTTCCTCACATGATCCTCTCCACGTCACTCTCGTATCCACTCCGAACTCATCGCTTCCCATTCGGGCCCCAACTCGAGGGTTTACCCGGCGTCTCCTGAGCGTGTATCCTACCCATCACCCTTTTCTTCTGCATATTTCATGGGCTATAGGTTGTGGATTGATTTGTTGTCAGATCATATTCCTAAATGGCTCCAGAAACAAACAGAATCTCCAGAACCCATTAATGGTGAGAACAGGAGACTTAGCTCCTCTATTGCGAAACGTATTATAGAGACAGGACGTAAAATTGACGTTAACAGATCTTTTAAACCTATCTATAAAACGTGTTTGGGGGAGGGCATATCCTAAAGTTCGTCGAAGCCCTAGGAATTAGAAGGTTTAAACCATCTTTGTGTGTTCACAGCAACAATTCCTCATCTCACTTAACCTTAATTGGTAAACTTTATTTTCAAAAGAATAGACACTGAACAAAGAGAACTCTTTTCGATAAATTCATCATCAGGTTCTACAATTATATATACATTATACTTTATTTTGATACCAGTCAGGGTAGATGTACTAACACCTCTATTATTTGGTTTAGTGATCTTCATTGTTATTTTGACCTTCAATATGTCCTTTTAATTCGACCTAAATTTATTTTCTCACCTCTTAACTTTTTATTAATTATACATATATATATATATATATATATATATATATATATATAACTCTATTAATTTCGTATGTATTCCTATAACAAGAATATGCAGACGATATAGTCTTTCTAGGCGAGGACTCTGACAAAATGCAGAGTCTTCTGAACACTTCGAACAGCAATCTTCGTATGTTTGGTATGCCATTCACTCCCACCAAATGCAAGATGATGTTACAGGATTGGACTACACTGACTCCTAGATTAGAAATAGGAAGTGAAGTGGTAGAGGACGTTGACCGTTTCACTTATTTAGGAAGTACCATCAGCCCCAACGGGTTGATATTTGACGAAATCTCAGCACAGATAAAGAAGGCTAGTTTCGCATATGCCAGTTTACGCCGTCTCTGGCGTAAACGTGATATCCGACTATCGACCAAAAGGCGTGTGTACTGCTCATCATTCCGCTCCGTCCTCCTTTATGGTTGTGAGACCTGGTCATTGAGAGTCGAAGACATGAAAAGGCTAGCTGTCTTTGATCATAGGTGTCTGCGTTCTGTCTCCTGTGTTGATTGGTATAGGTGAGCAATATTGAGGTTAGATATCGGTCGAGTGCTAGGTAAGGAGGGGAAATCATCAGACGAGGCTGTGAAATTACATCGACTGAGATGGTTAGGACATGTGTTACGTATGCCTGAGCACCGCCTTCCTCGATGGGCGATGTTAGTTGACATAGGACCGCTCAGGTTGGAAAAGAACCAGTGGTGGTCAAACCAAAAGATGGCTACATCAGTCAATGAAATCCATAACAGTTACTTTCAGTCGGCCACATAGGGAGGTGTAGACTTCCTGGTTGGGGTCCTCGGGACGGTAAAAACCAATGGTTGGAAACAATTGGTGATATGGCTCAAAATCGTTCTCAATGACTGGCGCAGATGCATCCACTCCTTGTGACTTATGATTTCCAATTAAACTGTTTTGTTCTTCGTTATTACTATTCCTTTGTCTCACAACTCTGTTTACTCTCTATAATATGCATTTCTCCTACTTTTTTCTCCTGCTTTGTGTGCTACAAAAGGGAGTGTGGCGACTTGAACTGCCGCACATATGCGCTAAGTTCTGTGTCGAAAACAGACAGACAGATGACAAGTCCGTGTGTGATCACACTGTTCGAAATATGTTGCGCAAAGACACTACACGATTCAGACAAATTACGTCCTCTTATTGCTTTGTCTAATGAATGTCTGTCTTGCCTTTCCGATCTTGGATTTCACATCCTGAACCGTTCTGCCTATAGTTGAAACGGAGCTGTCTAGATAAGTGTATACATATATTTACCAAACAAATTGTGTAGTTGATATTAAATGAGTATATTTGTCTTAAATAATAAAGTGAAGGAGAATTTGGTTAACAATAATGTGTCATTATTCAGATTGAGAGGAGTAAACGATTTTTCGTGTTAGTAAATGGTTTAGTGTTCATAATTGCAATGCGAATGTCAAGTGTTTTTTTTTTTCGAATTGTCATGTGAATGACAAGCGCTTAATTATCTCTGCTTCACAATCAAACTAATCTCCGACTTAGATTTCCTCCTTTTCGATAGATATTCGTATGAATATTTAAAAAAAACACTTAGTGACATTTAATCATAAGCATAGATATAGACTTGATTATGACGTTGATTTTGATAATTAATTGGGACATTAGATCAGCATCTCGAATCCCACTGACTTCAAATGTGGTACGACTTAGGTTTCCTTTCAAACCCATGCCTCAGACTGTTAACTCTCCTTTTGACAACATTATTACTATACAACTAACAGGCTAGGAAATAAAATACCTATTGTATTTTAGCTTCTTTTAGTGTTAGAATTTTAGAATTTCTAAGAAAATTCTTCAGAAGGTTAATGTCGGTGTCTAGTGGCGGTTTTACATTAACATTATTAACGAAAGTTACTAGGTTCAGTGCAATATGAAAGAAGAATTTTTTCTTTGTGTAGTTTAATCTCCTACTAGGTTCTAATATTCTTCATAATTTCCTCTTCGTATTTGATATGATTGTTATAATGAATTAAAAATGCATACTTGCTGCATAAAGGGCATCAAGAGATGTTCCACATAAATTTTGTGCGATGACTAGGATACTCCTCGAACAAGTGGTTGTCTTAAAGAGTCACTACCATGCCGTTGACTTGTAGTCTGACCCACAAGTCGATGGAGAGGCGTTAGGAGCTACAAGCCCATGGTTACCGGTGTCCTGAAACACCATTCAATCCAATTAAATTCTGATACACATGAGCACCATAGATTTGGAATCAGGGTTTCCTAGTTTATCTAAGTAGATCTACATGTCTACCAGTCTGGTTGTAAGCGCCAGATGTTTGCATTCTCACTTTCACTTTTGCTAGGAACACCCGCGCCACATGAAAGCAGTGAGTGGGACCTAACTCATAGAGGCTATGGACGCATAGCCATATGAAAGCACTTGGAAAGGAAGACCAAAATCTACCCACCCCCGACTGTACCAGGTTGTTTTTAAGAGGGCTGGTCTTCGGTACTTCAGTTAGCAGCACAATTTTAGAATGCAGTCCTTCAGATAACAAACCAAAGTAGTAGCTATTTTAATAATTGTGCACTACCACGCAGTAATCATGAATAGATTTCAAAAAGTCAGAATAAAACATTTTTTGTAGATCTATCCCAGTCTGCTAAGTCTGTACATGCTTCAGTTTTTCTCCCACTGTGCCTATTTATCTCAAAATCCTGCTCTATATGTATATACGATTATAGTATTAATCGAAGTTTTTTCGAGTTATTTTCATCCTCGAAAAATTCGCTTCTTTCTACAGTATTTTTCTACCTCTTTGTTTATCCCTATTATGTTTCCACACACACACACAAACCACCACCACCACTGGTGTATGTATGTATACGAGACTGATTCATTATCTCTCTTATCTGCGCCCTCCCATGTTGTGGTATGCCACAACCACCCTGAGACTAATAGGAATTAAGGATGTTGAAAATAACGATGATAATAATAATAATACTGATAGTATCTAGTCTAATAATGTGATATACAGAAAAACGCAATTAGGGATCACTGATAAAATGCCTTCAAACTTTACTATGGTTAGTTAATAGAACAAGTTCTAATAAATATCAGGAGATAGAGCGAGAGAGAGAGATACGTATTTTATTGTATTCACTGTGAAGGCTTTTCTCTTCTTTCAACAGTAGAAAGAAACTACGTCGTTCTGCTGGATAAGAGTTTTGCTTTACAAAGGAAAGAAACAAATAGTAAGAAGCATTTCTGTAGAGAGAGAAAAAAAGAAAAAGAATCAGGGTACTGCATACTGTGCTTTACTTTTGATTGACTTAAACTACTTATAAAAGGCATGTCTCACAGCAGTATGCCTATTGTGTTACATGCATATATGTATAGACAACAGACATGATCACTTTATAATGTGGCAAAAAAAAGAAGTGGAACTCACTAGGGAGGAAAACAACAAGTGGTATTAGTGGTATTACTCTATATTGTTGTTAGAAGGCATTGATTGAAACGTAGTGATGTCATACTTTGCGTTACGTGATTTAGACTTCCTCCTAGAGACAGGTAATAATACACTTTCCTTTCAGGGGTTTATAAAAAAAGCCGTGATTAATTAGACAAGATTTAATCAAAAGTCCAGTCAGTAGTTGAAATGGAATTTATTACTTATATAATCTAAAGTAGTGTACAACTTTTACGTTTGATTAATAGAGTTGGCCTGATTGTGACTTCTTGTTCATTACGTGATCAGGTATAAATTTTCCCACTGTCAGGTTGAAAGAACAGATTTGCATTCAAAAATTTGAATACATCTTCACTTATACATTGACAATTGGATTTCACTCAAGGAAATTGATGAGGAAATACTTTATAATCTTTATTTACAAGAATGTGTACCTTAGCGAAATTGGAGTAAATTCTTTTTCCAATTATCACATCCAATATTCATTCACAATGTGGGGAGGAGGAGTGTCTTATTGCCTGTCACATAATAATCAGCTAAATTCACCGCCTTACTATTCAGCAGGAGTGTTCAATCCTTGGTTAACAGATTGACTTTGGAGGTTGCAAATTTATTCGTCTCCCTGGGCTGAGTCAACCCGGATACATAGGCGCTATGCTCCGCCGCAAACGAGGAAAATGCCAGTTCGGTGATTAGATCACTTCGATCTGGCTAGGAAACGCTACTTTTTGATGTGAGCGGTATGCAACTACTTGTTTCAATCAATCAGTAGTATATCATTTTTAGTACTCTGGATCTGTTTTTTTCCTCTGTCTTGAATTTCATCATTCTCTACGTTACTAGTGTGGCGCATGCTACTGTTAAGATTTATGAGTAGTATATAAAGAGACGTTCATCAGCATAAAAATATCAAATAGCGGAGAGATAGATTTGACGTCAAAGAGAGAAAATGATTCAGTGTTGCGGAAAAACATGGGAGACATGAAAAGAAGACAAATGAACACAATACGAAGGAAGGGCAGAAGTAGCACAACATGGAAGATCTGTGCAAATGACGATTTGGAGTTAAGGTGTACATGATTTGGCTATATAGAGATACCAAATTACAAATAAACATTTTTTTAGCAATAAGGAAGAAAACTGACTGACTAATTTCAACATGGAACTGTACACAGAAGTGAAATAGTTCGTATTGCCACAATCCATGTAGTAGACAAAAGGTAGAAAATATTCAAAAGCGGAAGTGTGGGGGAGTAAAACTGGAAAACAATGGATTTTAATGGATATGCCAGATGAGAAAGAGTGAATGAGTATGTGCCAATGAAAACCACTTTCAGCTTTATCACCAATTGCCTCCAGCTAATATTGCCCATCGAGGAAGGCGATGGCTAGACATGTGCGACATATATCCTAGCCATTTCAATCTATGTAGCTTCACAGTCTCATCGATCGACTTCCCCTCTTTACCTGACACTCGACGCCTAACCTCTATACTAATCGGCATATAAAACCACCTAACACGGGAGACAGAACGCAGACAACTGTGATCACAGACAGCTAGCTTTTTCATGTCTTCCACTTTCAATGGACATATCTCACAGTCATAAAGAAGAAAGAAGAGAAATGGTGAGCAGTACACACGTCCTTTGATCTATACCTGGATATCACGTTTACACCTGAGATGGAGTTAATCGGTTAGTACCACACGAACCATTTGTGTCCATTCTGGGATTTTGTCAGCAGTCAGACTACTAAGGGTGATGCCACCTCCTAAATAATAAGTGAAGTGGTCAATACGCTCAACCACTTCAATTCCTATCTTTAAGCTAGGATTCGATGTAGTCCAGTCCTGTAGCATCATCTTAATTGCCTTATAATAATACCAAATTCCACATAAACATTCCTTTACTAGGTCTCTTGTATTCTACTGTTACAGTAGCTTTATTATCTTATGATTTTTGCAGAGATGTACATACACTCAGACGGAGCATGGTTAATAGCAGTCATTTGTAATCACGTATTAAGTTATCTCTTCACGTTCTTACATAGTATTCATGTTTCAGATGTATTCATTTGTCATTTTAACGTTGTTGATTGTGGCTATAATTCTTCTCAATTGTTTTTGTTCTTTCACATTAACTCACTCTCTGTTACTGTACTGTTTTAAAATGTTTCATTTGAACTGGAAAAATTTTCACCTTCATTCCTTTTTGGTTTAGTCTTTTACTTTGAGAAAAATTCTCTGGGCTATTTGATTCCATGATGGTTTTATAGAATGCTTTTTTGTGCGCCTTTTTGCATCCTAAATGGAACAAATGGCTTCAAACTTGAGCTTTCAACTTTCAGTAGTGATTGTGTTTTTTATGTTATAGGGTGGGGAGGGATGCTAGTCTCACACCCAGCCTTCTCTCTTTTTACTGAGTTTACTTCCAGCTAAGCGAGGTTTTTAGGGATGTGTCTGTCGGAAATCGAACAGGGACCACGTGTGTGGTTGGCAACCGCTGCACCACTGAACTACTGATGCAGTAGAAAAGAATTATTACATCAGGGACAGACAATGCTCTCTAGTGCGAATCCCAACATGATATATTAATATACTATTATTCATTCCCGACGTGCTGAGTGGAACATAGGGTTTCAGAGGCATATATTTGTATTTCACTCAGTTTTCCGCCATCTCTACCAACTAATAAAAAATAAATCACATGACAAGACAATTCGAATACCAAGTTAATAAAAATAATCGGTGGAGCTGTCATCTAACAATCAATCATGACAATGGTATCGAGGAGATGCAGTTATATCATTGAACGAAATATTTTTATATTGAGTCATAAGAAAAAGACGTAAATAGCGAAAAAAACTTTCTTCTTGACGATTCATTTTCATAAGCTGTACAATCGTAATTATATTTAACTAAGAATTCATAAGACCCAATCAGATACTGGTAAAATTTGTCCTCGAAAAACGTATTGCATAATGTAAGGTGTAATCGAGAAGGGGTGACTAATTAGAAATTAGAAAAGGGGCAGAAGTTGAAATGACGTTATAAGTGTAAAAAAACGGACTATTCAGTATAATTGTATGGCGTGGACAAGAACTACTAAAGTGTTTTTATATAAAAATATATATGAAAATGTTTCTTCGCTGTTTACGTCTTTTTCCTTATTATATCATTCATGAAGAATTCAGATTACTTTCATTTCATACTGAAACTTGCTCTAAAAATGTTTTCTAGAAAGACAACGAAAGCTCAAAGAACACAATTAAATTCCTAGTCTATACTCATTTCATTATGGAACATCAGGGATCCCATGTCCGATTTTTATGATACGAAATGAGACGCTTCCACTAGATTAGGGAGTAGAAGCAAATTTTTTTTCTTATTTATAGTTGTCGTAACATTCTGTCCCTTAGAATAGCGTAACTTCTGTCACTATTACTAGAAATAAACAGAGACATGAAATATAATTGATACTTTTGGTGCTATGAAGGCTGTCGATTATAAACCATCCTGCTCAAAAAATACAATGTGGGAACACTGAAGTCGTGAAGTTGCTTGCAAAACTATCTTAACACACCAATTTAATGGGAAGCAGATTGATATCTTGTGAATTAACCCTGACCGATACCTGCTACCTTGACGTGGTGGTCGGGTTTGGACATCACAATGCCCCAACAAGCTACACTGGCTGGAACTATTTTTCCTGCATGTCCTACCATGCCAGGAAGGTTGTTAGGATAGCAATTAAACTAAAAGCATTAACCGGCATAGTGTAAGAAATTGTTTTTACACTATGCTTTTGGGTCTGTGGACAAAGTCGTACTGCTGGGGAACGGGGATGTAACAGCAGTGAGGTGTTTCCCTCAGATGACCAGCATGCCAGCCATCTATTATGCTGTCTCTCCACTCTGGAGAGAGGGGGTTAGAAAAGGTCGACCCCAACAATTGTATATCCCGACTTACCCTACGGTGGTCCGTAACCCGTGGTAAGTTTACTAATACGGAACTAAAACAAGAAGCCAGTTCATCCAGGCCGTGTGTAACCGGCTGGCCTAAAGCAGTTATCCCCTGAACTCTGCGATCACGCAACAATTAACCTTCTTTCTATTTCAGGTACCCGAAGAATCAACCAACTTCCACGGTGAGGGCAGCCGGGAAGTAACAATCGCCCACAAACTTCTAAGAGCACACGGAGCCTTCCTGAGCATCATTCTTGTGAATTAGCTTTTTTGTGTTCGTATTTGTGTGTATGTATAGTTATTGTGCACTTGGTAAATCACGAGTGTATTCAAAAATCTTTTTACGCTTTTCCGTCAGGATAGAAAGATTCTATCATTCTTGCTCTACATTCTTTTAAAAAGATTACTCAAATATTCTGAATTTAATAAATACTGCTGTTTTTATTTATTTATTTTTCGTGTGTGTGTGTGTGCTTGCATAGTCGAATGCCTCAAATCAATAATGGTTTTTCACATAGTGCAAGTACTGGTCATCTTCCGGGTACTATATCTTCAGGAGCTACTAATAATTCGAATAGTGTAACAAACGGTTCAAATCCAAATACACCATGGATTGCTTTTGATCCTCTTTTCAATCAATCACAGTCTGGAACAATAGCTCCACCTATCCCTCCACCAAAACTTACATCATTATCTGGTAATCTTGGACATCCAACTATACCAGAGTAAGTTAGCTGTGTTTTTATAGTGTTTTCCACTAGTAGACTAATAAATTATATATATATTTTTAATGGTTGTAATTAACAACAATGAACGTTGTATGATCTTTTTTGCGGTTACGGTACTTACGACAAAGTAATGCTTGTTCAGTAATATGAGTTGTCCAACCTTGAGAAAGTGTTGAACACTGGACCTTTATTTATACTTGTTCAACACTGAAAAAGTTATCTCAAATACAGATGAGATGAAAAAACTGAAGGGTTTCGTGTCACCTACCTCCGGAATACACCAACTCTAACATCAAAATACTTAACAAACTTCGCATACTTGAATTATTATACCTTTGTTATCCAACGGAAAACGGTAGAATATGTGGTTATTATATCTGATATAACTGATTGTTTGTCTCACAAACTGTTGAAGAGCTAATTGTATATTCTGTCAACTAAGACAGATATGAATTAATGACTCGTTATAAGCAAGTAGTTGACTCCTGGACGATTTTTGTTATTATTGTTGTTCCCTTGGGATCCGAATATCTCCATTTCATCCTGTTCTCTGCAGTCGTCTTCAGGTGACCGTAGAATTGCCCATAGTCTCTCATCGAACGCCCAACTCGCCGTTTCCCACTCGGCTTCCGCTCGAGGATCTGGTGTCCGATGTCACCCGACAGTTTCCTTAGCGTATATCTGATCCATCCACACTTTCTTTGCCGTATTTGTTGCGCAGTGTGTTCTTGGTTAGTTAGTTCCAAGAGTTACTTGTTATTAATTTTCTTTTGGCCATTTGATCTTCTGTGGGGAGCTAGCGAAGTCAGCTGTTGATAAAAGTCAGAAGCTGGCTGTTGGAGATGCTTTTCTCAACGCACCAAGTTTCTTACTCACGAAGAAGAACTGACTGTGGCAGATTTCCAAATTAATTGACATATTCATCTGTGCCGTCGCCTGTAGTTGAAATGATGCTATCCAGATAAATGAAGGAATTGACCTCTCTGAAGTTTCTCCCCTATCATACTGATTGGTGCTTGCTATGGTTGATTGGTTACTTTCATCACTTCTGTTTTCTCTGTGTGTTCACACCTGAAGCATTGTCTTTTCTACTCACCTCTTCTACCAGTGTTGTTGGTTTTCGCCTGCAAGTCTTCGAGTTTATGTGGCATTAGACATAAATCATTCGCGAAGTCTAGGTCTTCTAGAGTCTTATCGGTCAGGGCAACGTATTCCTGTCTTCTAGCTCCTCACACTACGGTGTTCCGCATAACACAGCCCACCACAATCAGGAATATCACAGCGATGATGGTAAAAAGCTTTGTCGTACTCCTATCTCCGCTCTAGAGGCTTTGCTGAGTTTTCTGTTGTGAATCACTTAGCACGTGACCTTATCATATACCTGTTGAATGAGGTTGATAACGATTTAGGGAACTCCATAGTGTTACAGTAGTTTCCAACTCTATTGGAAGGCCTTTTCAAAGTTCATGTAGAGATTTGACTGTCATTCTACGCTTTCTTCGATGGTAATGCATAAAATATGGTACTTTAATTATGCTACTCACTTAGAAGTTTAATTAACAGGCAATAGTTAGTCTTGTTTCAGTCGATAAATGTCTGAATTACCCTTCAATTTTTAAATGATAATACCCAGTGGAAAACTGTCGCTAAACTTTGATAATCCTCTGGTAATCCACTTTTATTTATCCTTCATCTCTATTGTTCCCTGTAAATTAACTTTACTCTCCTCACTTTGTTTCGTTTTTTTCTCTTTTATTTTTTTGTTCATTTAATTTATAGACGTCCAGGTACTACTGGTATGCCTCGCATTCCCCCTCGGCCGACTTCATAAATCAACATATAACGTCTACAGTTATAATGCATATTAATTGCCTTTTATCATTATGCAAATTTCAGGCTGATTTCCTGTTCCCTTCTTATACGAAAAACACAACAAAGCAAAAACAATCTTTTATGTAAGATACTAACTAAATGGCCTTAAATATTTGTTTGTGTACACACGTACTTCACCATTCAATGGCTGTTTTTTTCTTCTATTGTTGTTAATCTCTAAAGTTTTAAGCAAAAGTTGATTGCCATTTGATCTTCCCCTGTGTCTCTCTTTTTTTATTTGCGCTTTCCTCTCCTCACCCCCCTGTCTCATCAATGCTCAAAACCGAAATGAAAATTGTGCCTTGGAACAACTGGCAGTGTAGTAAGCTTTTCTGGTGTCTCACACCTCTCTATCTCCTTGATGAATGAGTGAATGAATGTAAGGAGAGCACTGCCTTTTTACTGCTGCTCCTCGTTGTGCTGCTGCGCCCCCCTACCCCTATGGGCTCTTTTCGATCTCAAATTACTGACTATTTTTCTGTCGAAAAATATCATTTTTTTAAAAAAATTATTTCCTTGTTGTTATTCTAATGACTCATGTTTTTTTTGTCTTTTTATTTTAAGAATGTTGGAATTTTTACATCATTTTAAAATTCAATGAATTTTACTCATCATACGTTTTATCTGATTTCTCCTATGCCCTCTCCCTCCCTACCTACCTACCTATTATAACATTAGTATTCACTTATTTACAGATGAATAAAAATGCACATTTTCTATTTGTATATTCTTAAAATTTATTTATACTTCATACAAATACCTGTTTGTATGTTTGTCTGTATGCTAGAAAATATTTAAAATACTTATTGGTTGGTTAGTTGTAAAAATGGATATCCAGTTGCTTGTCGATGGTGTTCTTTGACACTTGCATGAAATGCTTAAAATGAAAATAACTATTGTTACTCAACGGTCGGTTACAATTCCTCGCAGAGTTGGTCTCCAACTGCACCTATTGATTGTGAAGGCTAGTGATTACTATCTTGCTGTGTGTGTGTGAACCTTGATTGGTGCTGAGAGTGCGGGGGCGGGGAACGTTCAAACCTGTGACCCACTCACTAGTTGGAAGTCGACGGCCTTAGAAATACTGTAACCCTGTGGTCGTCATCTGACTACTTCTGATATGATAGTAGTAGTAGTAGCAGCAGCAGCGGTATAATGTAATGTATTCATTTGCCTTCTTTTTGTAGCCCTTTATGCCTTCATTTTCTGTTGATTACATAGACATTTTTGTAAGAAAAATGCTTATATTGACTAATTATTGATTCTCATATACCACCCAATGGGTTTTTTGTCCCCCCCCCCCTCCATCCCATGCTGTAAGTTATTTAGACAGCTCAAAAGGCAAGACAATTATCACATTTCTTTTTTTAATTTAAAGATTAATTTCAAGGGTCAGAGTGTAATCGTGTTCATCTTTTTTTCTTCTTCGTTTTCATCACGTCTTTCCTTAATTTCTTTTCATCATGTGTGTTGCTCATTTGCTCATTTAACCACAGATATCCCCCTGCCTTTTTCAATGATCAATGTAACGTTGTGTTTTGTCTTCGTTGTTTATTCTTCACACTTTCGCGCGTTTTTTGTTGTTAAAATTAAATTTATTTATTTATTTATTTTAGCAGCGACTCTATAACTGTGAAGTGATAAATTGAAAATGATACGAATTAAAAGTTTTCTTTTTATCTCCGATTTCCTGTTACTTAAGTTGTTTCTTTGTTTGTTTTTCTTTTGTATTTATTGTGCCAGTGAAAATGACTTTCTTATTCGTCCTTTTTACCACTTTCTTATAAATATAAATATATACATATACTATATAATGCTAGTGATTTATGAATGTGTTTTTTTTAAACGAATCATTATTTGTTTTTTTTTTTATGTTGAAAACTTTTATCTTTTAATGAAAAGTAGTTATAATAACAGTGTTATTATCAGTTTCTTTTAATTTTATTTATATGTTTGTTTGAATGGAATTTGATGCGCTACTTTGAACAGTATACTTTCTATCGATGATTATGATTGTAATTTTTTTCTATCGCTTTACTTTTAAGATTGAATACATATTATTATTAATATTGTCTCATTTAGTTCTTAGAGGAGCATAGGGCTTCAGCTGCACGTCTCCATTGTGTTCGGTTCTCTGCAAAAACGTCTTCATCACCTGGCTGGCTCTACGCCTGCCCACATGATTTCATCTCCTCTTCGCATCACCTCCTTAATGTTACTCTCGCGCTGACGTCCGAATTCCACTCGAGGGATGGCCTGGCGTGTGATGTCAAGATGGTTTGTTTTCTAAGAGTATGGCCAGCCAATCCACCTCCATTTCTCCCTGCATATATGTTGCACAATTGGTTCCTACTGGGTTGGTTCGCACCCAGAGATCCCTCCCTGTTGTTGATCTTTTCTAGCTGGCCATCTTGAGTATTGAGTGAAGACAGCTGTTGATGAAAGTCTGTAGTTTGTTCAAAGTGGCCTTCGTGACTCGGCGTGGTTCCAAGTCTCTTATCCGTAAAGTATTAATGACTTCACATTTGAGTTGAAAATCTGGATCTTATTTTTCATGCTGAGTGCTGCTGACCTCCACACAGGCTTGAGAGTAGTGAAAGCTTGTCTTGTTTTCCCGATCCTCACATTGGTATCCTCATCAGTTCCGCCTGTAGTTGAAACGATGCTTCCCAGCTAGGTAGATAGGTGAAGGAGGTTGTTTCTTTCAGGTTCCTTCCATTTATGCTGTTGTTGGTGATGTTGACCAGGAATCTTCGTCACCTCTGTTTTCTCTATGTTCACCTGAAGGAAGTCCTATATTTGATGTTTCTTCTGCCAACTTGTTGCTTTTCACTTGCATGTCTTCCAGTTTGTGGAAAAACAAATATATATCATCGGCGAAGTCCAGATCCTCCAAGTCTTTTGAATACAAATATATACATAAACTGGTACTGAAATTTTATCAGTAGTATAGCGCGATATTTGTGGATAAAGTCATTCGTAAAACAGTAAGCACTAACTATTATTAATAAAACAGTTTCAATGAAGGAAATTTTCTTTTCGACAAAGTCATCAACCAGACTGTGCATTCGTATACTTATATTAAGCGAGAAATTTCCAGAATTATTTCCGGTCAAAGGATAAGTAAATAAAATTACTAAGTGTAGTAAACAGAAGACAGATAGTAGTACTATTTTAGAAATATTTCAGGTCAAAGGTCAAATTAGTAAAATTACAATGTGTAATAATCAAGAATATCGGGTAGAAAAGATGAAATAATATTACAGTTACTGGGAAACTCGTTAGCCTGTATAATTATGGATTAAGGACGTAGAATAAACAAAACAGGTAGGAAGTTCGAACATATAAAAATTAAAAACAGCAACCAAATCTAGTAATGCAGATAGGAATTAAAAACTTAAAAATAACAGAAATAAACAGAAGGTTGGACATAATAGGTATTTCGGTAATCACTAGTGGTGGGACTGACTTTTTATGATGGCCACGGTAGGGACAACGGTTGGAAGTATTTCTTTTGAACACATGGAGTGGGCTTGAGTTTTTGGATTGCCACTGCTTCAGCTATTCCTAGATGTCTTGATTTCACTCCCCTTGAGATAGAGGTTGAATCGGATCTTGTATATGACTTTGAAGGACTTTTCAACTGGAGCTGAATATAAATACACAAATTTACAGCCTAGTTGATGACTTCGTCAAGAAGAAAACTTTCTTCGCTGCAACGGTCTTTTTAATAATTCCTATGATCCAATGTTCATTTACAATTACGATCATTCCCTTAAGTTCTGAATAGATCTCAGAGCTTCAACAGCACATCCCTATTTCATCCTGTCCTTTACAGTCCTCTTTAACTGGCTCCATGATTGACCAGAAGCACTTACACGATCTCCTCCAGGCTCTGCTCATCCTTTCCTATTCAAGTTCCACTCAAGGGTGTGTCTACCTGTCGTGCCATTTCAGTCGACCGTCTCCTCAGCATGTGTTTCACCGGTCCACCTCCATTTTCTTACGTAGATTTGGTTGTTTCGTCGACAGACTTCCCTTTTTCTAATCCTTTCTGACCGGCATTCTGATGTTCAGTATCGAGCTAGCGGATGCAAAAGTTGATAAAAGTTTAAAGCTGACTTTTGGGAATGCCTATAGTGAAACGTCAGGTCTCTGAATCATAATAGAAGAACTGACTTGATATTCTTCATGCCTTTATTCCCCTCGATGAATTTGAATAAAGCAAGAACAACAGTAGTCTGTGCAGAATAATGTGGTACCATCATTTATTTCGTTGGCTTCTCATCATCTGCTTGCCTACAGCCTAAATAAATTATGAGGTTTATGTACAGAAAGGTTTTAGCATACTTGCAAATTTGTCATGATGTCAGTTGACCGAAGGTTCCGCAATTAGTGAACTGTGCTCAGAAAACTGCGCTTATATAGTTTTTACACAGACAGTTCAAGTTTAAACAAAAATAAATGTATGCATACAATGGTAAAGGAGTTACGTAATAAAGAAGAGAGATGCGTAAGATGCTGAGCGATTAATAAATTTGGTAAAAATGTACTGAGTTCAACTGAAATCATAAAAACAAGAGACAAGTAAAATTACAATATGTCAAAGGGGTGAGGTTAAAGCCAAAGATTACGTAATCAGATGAGAGAATAGAGACATCCAGTTACTAGGGCAAGGAAAGATTAATAACTGCTTCTTTCTGAACACATAAATCTGGTTTCAAGCGTTTGATAGAGATTGCTTCGGCAAACTTGAGGAGAATGGAACTCCTTTGTCTATTGATAATTTTAAAGGATTTCTCGATTTCCACCTCATGATCCGTGTTAAGATGTCTAGTAATAGCGCTGCTATAAGAGTTTGTTCCCTTGAGATGTAGGCTTTTTGGCACATGTTCAGAAAATCGGAGGTTTGCCCTTCTTTCTGTTCTCCCAATGTAACTGCTCCCGCAGATACACGTAAATTTGTATACACAGTTGGAGTTAACATCAGAAGGGTATCTGTCGACTTTTGACTGCACCAAAGAGCATGATGTTTGATGGACAGGACCCAACTTAGCTGCAAGATAGGCTCTGACTAGTGATCCATTCAATCTTTTATTGATTATTCCTGCAATATTATCACCTCTAAAATCAAGTTGAATGAAGATAGGCTTCTTTCCCACTGTGATTTGTTTGCCATTAGAGCCTTCACATCTTCCGTAATTGTTAATGAACCTCTGAGGGTAACCGTTGTTTTTCAACACTTTTTCGAGAATCGTTAATTCTTCCTCTAGTTCCTCTGCACAGCATATTTTCCTCGCTCTATAGTAAAGAGTCTTAACTAGTGCTCGTTTATAGCTATTTGGGCAAAAACTATTAAAATGTAAGTATTAGCTGTTCCATGTCAGCTTTCGGTAAATTGACCTCTGGAGACTATCTATCATCTTCTAGGCGTTGCATGGCAATGTCAAGGAAATGGAACTTTTGATCATTTTCATGTTCCATAGTAAATTCAATATTTGTATGTGCTTCTGAGTAGATAGGAAGCATGACTTTCATTGTTGTACACTATAACAACAGGATTACAAGATAAGGTGTAGCTATTTGGTTTTTTTTGTGCGGATTTTCCTCCTCAACTTCAACGACTTTGAATTAGAACAAATAAGTCTTAACTAAAGCACTTGTGATGAGTATAGAATAAATTTCACTCCCCTCTTCATTTTAACACCATATTGAGGAGCTATGAATAATGTGAGTTCTATGAAGCAGATTGTTTTTTGAAATGTGTATGTAAGCAGTCATCACGAACCCCGACAAAACTGATACTCCATTATAGATTTGGTCCTATGTCACTCAGTCAAAGACTAGTGAGCTGTTCTGGCATTGAGTGACTTCTTGCCGGAACTTCATGAATAAATAGTGTTGTAGTTTTTGCTTTTGATTTAATGCTATGGTTTAATTTTTGTAACACATGGTGACTAAGCTACGAAACTCAGTATATCAATACAGTTTGGCTTGGTTTTGGAGAGTTGAAGGCAAATGTAACCGGCAGGATTTTGTCAATATATAAAGTTTCGATTGCATGGCATTCATCACCCACTTGTGATCAGTCAATAGAATGAAAACTATCAAAAGACTGTAGGTTTTCTGCTCTCTGGTAGCAGTTCTG